GGTGACAAAAACAACAATTATGAATAGTGGAGACATGAAAATGGGGGCATTTGGGGGATAAATTTCAGAGTCTCACATCCACTTTCCAGGCTCAACTGTCCAGGCACGAGAGTAAACACAACATTCATGAACAATTTCTTTTCATATGTAAAGCAGCAAACGAGGATGTAAGCATATTTTTGCAGAGATGGCCAGCATCATGAGGTCATGATTTAGGGCATAACTTTTTTTTTTTTTTTTTTAAGAATAAAAATGACCAAGGCCATTATTTTAGGAAGGAGACAATACAGAAGGTTGAGTTGTAGTATTCCACACTCAGTCACAACCATTTCAGTATGTTGCCCTTTTAGAGGAGTTAAAATCTGACACTCTGTCTCTCTCCTGTCCATGTACGGCGGTGGTGCCGGATTTAGTGCCCTGTTGTGGGTCCACGGGATCACTGAAGCCGGGCCTCATGAACAAAAAGATGAGGAAGGACGCGGGAGTGACCACAGAAGGAAATATGCAAACTCGAAACGGTGTTTAACTAGACCGGACCGAAGAACTTTGAGGTCTGTAGTATCTAGTGTCTGAATTTTGTTTTGAAGTCATTTATCAGGGCCAAATGGTGTAAATTAAGGGATCAACGCTGGCCATCAGGAAAGCGACATGCTAACTTTATCATCACGTCATCTCTTAAAATAATTGTACCAGTTGACGCTATCTTATCACTACGCAATATGAAAGACTATATAATGAGACATCGCAGAAATCCAACATGAGCTGCCAACAAGCCAGTTTTTTGTGGGTCTAATCATGGAAGGCATGCCTACCGAATGTTTGTTTGTTTGTTTGTTTGTTTATTTATTGAACATATATAAAACATACAATAACATGACAAAGTGCAAACAAAAATTATGAAAGGAAAATAAAAGTAAAAGTAAGTAATACAAACATCATCACAGTTATATGTTCAAAGGAGTAGGAAGAAGTATAAAACTTATCTAGTCCTACCCCTTTTTGAGCAATAATGTATATTGATCATTTCCAAAGAAAAGGAAGAAATCTAAATTTCATCAAATACTTTTACCCTTTTGTGTACTATGCTTACCTATTGATACACCTTTCGGTTTGTATATATGTATCATTATTCTTTCTACTTTTTATATCAAATAACTCATATTCATTATATATACCACATTTCTTGAATACATTCAATAAGTTGTTCAAAATCCAGAACAAGAACAAACCATAGTATTACTATATTTTATAAGTACCAGTATGTAAAATTTATCTTCTTAACTTTGTTTTATGTAGTTTTTTTGTACTAATGTTTTTGTCATTCTAATGTCATTCTATTAAGGGAAACGCTTCGAGGCTGAATTTTCAAAACAAAAAACACCACCAAACTATTTTTTATGTTGTCTTATCAAATTCCGCCACCATACAAAAAAATATATCTTTGCAATTTAGCATAATCTGTTTAGCATGCATGGCTTAAATTTGATCGCAAACGGACAAAATCCCTTGGACAAATTTGTCTTCACGGCAAGTGCCCAAATTCACCTAAAATGGTTGTTTCAAACCAAGATGCCAGACTTCTTGTGTCTTTTTTAAGAATGGCTTCAAGAATTTTTCGTGGGTCTATTCATGATATAAATGCCCATCAAATGTCACTCTGCTATGTGAAATTGGGTTCACAGGATGAATTTAAAAATAAATAAGTTTTTCAAATATTAATTTTAAACAGTCAATGCATCTACTAGTCCAAATGTATATCATCCCGAAACTCATGGTGGCGCCACTGATCCAGATTGAATTCATTCCAAATTTTGAAACCCAAAATTTTGCATGCCTTTAGGTTTTTTGCGCTTTGGACTGCTGAGCTGCAATAAAAACCACAGAAAATGATGCACTACTGCTTATTCCGAAAAATATCTATAAAGTGGTAAATCAGAGAGGGGGAAAAAAAAAAGGAAAAAGATCAATCGCATATGCAGCATTTAGCATATCTTGCACACAATCAATCAATCACAACAGAGATGTCATGAGCGGTCCTGCTGCGGCTGAATTTGGCAACGGGTCATCATCTTGTTCTCGTTATGGGGCTGCCGTGGAGGAAGCATGGGGGAAGGAAGGAGGAGGAAGGCAAGCGTGGAAGGAATGAGGTCATCCCCGATGCTCACCCACAAGGATCTGAGGGCCGAGTGCGGCGGGTGTGGTTTGAAAAGTGATAAGGAGAGCCAACTCACATCTAATCCACAGCATGTTCAAGCAACTCACTTTCCCACTTTATTTTGTCACCTCGCCTTGTTGCAAATTATTAATTGTCATCCTGCCCGGACATGTCTCTGACCGAGGTACACAGACGCAAGCACGGGCACGGAGCCAGAACAATATCTGAGATATAAGATGAACCTTCACTGTATAGATGCCTCACATCCACTAAAACATTTTCATTGCTTATATTACTGGATGGATGTTCAAATAAACCTCAAACTATGACCCCAAAACACTTAAGTATCATTTCGAAGTCATGTGACAATATTACCCTCTCAGATCAGCAATTTTTGGGGAGAACTATCAAACATGTTGGCTTTTTCAGACAAAATACGACCTCTCCTGACCTGCTTTAACTATGAACTGAACTTCTGGCAACCTGTCAAAATCCCAATGACAACTTTCATCTTGATCATTTAATGACACTTTATACTTATAGCTACTTAACTAGGGATGTCCCGATCACATTTTTTTTTTTTTTTGGCAACTGAATCTGTGTCACTCCATTTTGAGTTTCTGCTGAAATGTCAGGCAGATGTCTCAGTGGCTTCAAACAGAAAAGGTTCCATCAGAATGCTTCCTAGACTACAACACACTTGCTCAACACGGGAACTCCGACACATGGCAACTAAAGGCCTCGCAGTAGAGGGGACCGTGGGAATCTGTTTTATTAAAATGCTAAGAAAAACAACATTCACATTTTTTTAACACACACACACACACACACACACACACACACAACAGACAGGAGGAGATGTCATGAGAAACGCCTGAGGGCTGTTTTAACCTCGTGGCCTTCCTGTCTGTCAGCTCGTCTCCCTCGTTGGGAGAACCCGACGCTGTACACTATATTCATCTTGAAAACATGACACACTCATAAATGTTTAAGTAAATATGTATACATATGACGCACACGCAAAACTGTCCAGGCAACATCCAAACATCCAAAATAAACAATGAGGGAGCAAAAGTGATTTTTTTTTTTTTGTCTGCATCGTGTTGCTGCAAATATGTCAAGTGAAAGTTTCATTTAAAACTAAAATGCCGAGACATATCATGAATTTATTAAGTGGTAGGGAAGACTGTGTAGCAACCATATGTGAGAAGGGAAAAGGAGAAAAAGGGTTGACTTCCACTTTCAGTCAAAATAGAACAAAAAAGTCTTGTAATAAATCATGAGTTTAAAAAAACGTCATTGTCAGTTCAGTAAATAGCGTAGGCTCACTTTGGTCGTTGCCGTGGAAATTAAATAACTCCGGCAAAATAATTACCACTTCTTGTGGAATTAGTACGATGACGACGCGCAACAGACGTGTCAAACATTTTAACGCTGACAAGGGTCACACATGGACGATGACCTCTGCGATGGCGGACGCAGCTGTGATACACGTCTCCAAACACACACCCTTACAAACACATACACACACATCGTCTACACAGATGTCATGTTTGCAAGTCCTGACATGCATGGTTGGAGGAGCATCACTTGGCAATGTGGTCATCTGTCCGGCTCGACAAGAAACCTGGGAATTTCTTTTCATCGAGAAAACGCCTCAAACAAATCCTTGACTGACTTTGCCGATGATGGGAGGGTGACGGAAAGATCTAGGAAAAAAAGATTCACGCGGCTTTTCCTGGAACCCCGCACACGCATACTTTCAAAACATAGAGTATGCTTGGCTTCCCCAAGCAAGCGCGCGGCGCGCGTGAGAGCTAATAAAAGAGGTGGTGGCATTCCTTCCAGACTTTAAAAAGCTCGGCCTAGTGGAACGGACTCTGAAGATGAGTCACAAGAGGTGCCAGGAGCTTCATGGTTGTCCCAGTGGAGGGAGGTCCCATAATGAAAGCACCCCATTGCTTTTGGGCAACATCCCAACTGAAGATATTTGAGGGCGCGGAGAGATTTAAATTAGCACATGTTGGTAGTTGGGTGCACGACCAGACATCTTTTTAAAACCGACCTTAAAGATCACACCTAACACAAAATTGTGGAGGTAGTTGAAGTCGAAATTGTAAATTAGTGCACAGCTTGTTACCAGTCAGTGGTATCAATCAAGTTTCAGAAATTTGACAAAACTGAATCGCATTCAAGACTCACGGCAAAGCAAGAATTCCACTGATTTCCAACGGAAGCTATTTGAGGTTTTGGTCCAAAATAGGTGATTTGAGTACCCATTGAATAGTAGTCGTATTCACAAAAAGCTGACTGTCTTCACTTTGTGGTCAGAAAAAAAGCGTATTTGGTGAAATTACGATTCTACTGTTGATTACCAGAAAATTGAAAAAGTTTTTCTGGTGAAAGAAGAATCCACTCATTCTTTTGAATGAGTAGATTTGTATTTACATGGTCGCATAACACATTACTATGGGTCAGTCAAAATGCTCTAAAACAGGCAATATGGGCAATTCTGTTTCGAAAGTGACTAGAAGTGAATGAGTTAACTGAAAACAACACTCATCCAAACAGACAGTCTGTGCGTCACAGTCCTGGTAAGCGTGTAGCTGGTTTGCGGCACGCGACCGCAAACACACGGGTTCCGCCTCCAGAGTGCTTTACAACATCCACGCTGCGTGCCAACACAATCAACCGCTGCTGGATTTCAACTTGGAGCACACAAGCACAAGGAACAAAGCTCCAAGCATTGTGGGAAACTGCCGCTACGCTAAAAGTTAGGTCGACATAGGCGTGGGAGGCTTTTAGCTCACCACGCTACATGCACCAATTGTCTGCTTGTTCTTACCCGGTCTTTGTCGTCCGCTACGTCGCAGAGCACGTCATCCAGGTCCAAAATGCCGCCATCGCCATGTTCGAGACGGTGCACCTGAAGCCAGTAGCTGGCATCCTGGGAAGAAAGCACAGCATCCTTACTTTAAAATACGAACAAACATCTTACGCGTAGAAAACTAGACAATCTTAAACAGTTGCTATTGGATTGTTGTTGCACTCCAGCCCAGAGGAGGCAGTAAAGAGTACCACAAGGTGGGTACATGCTGCCTCTTTTCAGTTAAGGAAAAAAAATTTTTTTTTGCATTTCTTTGAATAAATAGAAACATCTGACAAGGAAAAAAAATTATCCTATACATTTGACGTTGGCATGCGGATTCACTTCAGTCCTGGAGGTGGCAGTAACGGGCATCACAAAGTTGGGTTTTTTTCCCAGTTAGATAAACATGGTAGAGTTCATTTAAACACCGTATTTTCATGACCATAAGACGCACATATTTGTCTGAAACTTTCTCCAAAATGGACGGGGCGCCCAATATGTGCTTTGCCTTGTGTACGCGCAGCGTTCCAAAATCTATGAATGCTGTTGTGTGACTTCGAAGAGGGATCCACTTAACTGACTGATGTTGTGCTGACACACTGTTTATATCGAGGAAAAGCGGATGTAACTGAGGACAGCATGTGGACGTTAAAGTGGGAAGGGTGGGTATGAAAGAGGACGCTAAAGGCATGCCCCCAGTAGGTGTATATTGTATTTAGTACGTGCATTGTGCAAAACATCCCGAAAATGGCTCCGACGAAGAGACAAGCGTAAGAAGCACGGTTTAAACTGCGAGCTATCAGTTACGCGGAGGAGCATGGAAATCGAACAGCTGTGAGAGAATTCAAGATCAACTAATCCATGGTGCTTGGTGCTTTCGTTTTATGAAATGATGCCAATCTATTCATCCGGACTCTGACAATGACGTAACGGAACCTTGCGCGTTTGATTGTGAACTTGCCCAGCTGTTCATTTTGGATACAGATTTGGACTTTGATGGATTTGAGGATGAGGATTGATTATAAAATAACGAAGTACATTGTTAAATACTTAAATAAAGTACAACACAACTGTTTTACTCTCATTGCATTTTTAAAAACATACGCTAGCATGCATGCATGCTAGTGTACGTTTTACCATGCCTGCGTCCAACAATACAATTGCGTCTTGTGTACGTGTTAAATACAGAAATAGCAACTGTAACTGACACTAAGCCTTTTAATACGGTGTGCCGTATGGTTATGAAAATACGGCAAACAACCGAGTTTCCTGAATTTACTTTCAGAAGCGACACATTTACAGTCAAATCAAAGCACGGTATTTGTCATCTACAGGCATCCCGATTACAAACTAAAAATAGCTGCTAGTAAACGTCACCTCACTAATATTTGAAGCTGGTGGTCCACACAGACTTAACGACAAGTTGGCTGATGCGTGATGACAAATGATATCAACACAGAGGTCATCGAGCACTTTTTGTGTCAAATATGAACGCCGGCAGGCAGTCCTGAGATACTTGCTGCCACTCGATAGCATCTCCGGGCAGACAAGAGAATGTGTCTGGCAAAACATTTGGTACATCTTACAGATGTGGAAATCTGATCCCATTCAACCACTATGACGCACAGATGTGGTCCAGATATCAATATTTTAACACAATCTTTTGGGTGCGTATGAAGCGGTGTTACAGTGTAGCCTGCTACATCGCGGTTCACCTCGCAATATCATGGATTTAAACAGGTTTTTTTTTTTTTTGTGGTATTTTTACAGTGTGCAGTACTGGCAAACCCCATACCAAAGAGTTGTGCAACTTCAGTGTAATACGATGTTGTTCCCAAAGAGCAGAAAGAAAACTGGAAACCCATGCAATTAAAATTTTACCAAACACTGTCAGAGGAGTTAGAGCAGCTTTGCTAAATTGCATTGTCATGATAATGCTATAATTCACAATGTTTTTCCCCTTTTGATTTATTTAGCGCTGTGTCCCTCACCAGATGCAGTTTGCATGTGACTTTAGGGTTGGGATTGAGCTAAGAAATGTAAACTGTGAGTAATTAACTGTGTCTACTGAATTATTGATGCTCGGTATAAAGAATTGTCTTGGCAAACAAAAGAGAGGTCTTTAGCAATGCTTTGTGTATTTATTCGACAGGAGTGTTGTCCACCTTGATTGCATTATAAATATCTTGTAAAACTATTTTGTCACTCCAAAAAAAGGTTAAATAATTAAAAATTAATAACATGGCCATACAAAAAAATCCCAAAACAGGCATGATTCAAATAAGACTCGTATGTTTACAAGTTAAAAATGACGAATTGTTCCATGTATAAATGTACTAATGACAAATGGTGTAAATTAAAGAACCGACTATTTCGACAACCAAAGCTACACGCCAACTTCATCATCACTTAACAAGAGTGCTACGGTTTGGCACAGAGACTTTTATTACACAGTTGATGCGACTTCATCGCAATGAATCGGCGTTGGAGTTAATGAAAAATTGAACAAGAATTTCACATCGCGTAAATCCGACACGAGATTTTCGAACGCCGAACGACGTTAGCTTGCATGTTGCTAACTAACAAGCCGCTGGTGCTTACCCAATAAAAAGATACAGTAGTCGTTCTCATTCACCGCCATGATTTTTATGAGTCACAATAGATGCAGAAGAATAAAAAATAGATATACATTTTAAATAAGCGCCCCGAAGTGGCGGTGTCGTCCTCGACGTAACGCGATGACGCCAGATGACGTAGAAGCTACACCGTTGATAAATTCCTAAAACAACGTCCCTTTATAAAACCACTTCAAAGAGCAAAGGCGTAACGTCGTGTACACGAATGTTGCTGCAGCATTTTTAAAGAGCCACCACAGACGAGGGAATAAGACCACCGAGAAAAGTACCCAGTGGTACCGCCATTTTAGGCAGCGGAGAACCGGCAAAAGAAGACAAGTGACCAAATGGACGTGACGTCATACAAACGCGGCGAGGACGAGGAGTCCGCATGTCTGGAGCTCGTGCACCTGTTCAACAATCTCAAGTGCTTTGACAGCATCTATCTCAACAACGTGCTCATTGACATGGAGGTAGGAGGATAAGTGTTTCTCCTTTCATAATGATAGCTGATATGTGAAATCTGAACACATCTTATTTGATTTCACAATGCTAAAACACCTAAAACGGTGTGAAATCAAATAAGATGTGTTCAAAATGCAACTGAAACAAAATGATTAACAGAAATAAACTTTTTTTTGTTTGTTTCAATTGTCAAAAGTTGGACCAGGTCGCAAATTAACCCACCAATACTGCCACACTTGTGGCATGCTTTTGTCGGGTTCCCTAAAGGTTCTTTTCAAGTAAAATGTTTTCAAACCACTGAGAAATTGTTGGCCAAATTAGTGTTAAAAAATTGGCTAGTACATAAAATGAGGCTTCAGAATGATGAAAAATTGAACTGCTCTCAGTTACGAAACGCTGTGGGCGCGCCCACTGAATGTGCTGAAACCACGCCTCGCTGAACTGTCCATCAAATGCGGCTACTGACATTTGGAAAAAATTGATGCTACTTCATCAAGCATCTTTCTTATGCCTACACACACCTGCATGTTTGAGCAGTGAAACTATCCCACTTTAAGATGGAATATATTTCCAACCAAATTATGTCTTTTACACACCACGACGAGGCACTCTAAAAGTGGCCACGCCAATGCGAAGCCCCATTCCACATGCTAGTTGTTAAATCTGAGAAAAAAAAAATCATAAAGAGAAAATATTCCCCCTCCTTGCTCATCTTTCTCTGCGTGACTCAATAAAAAGGTGCTGTGAAGCAGCCACGCCAGAGGACAAAATAAAGATATATTTTCAAGGAGTATGCAGGCAGTTAGCTAAAGGTATGTGATAACTGCTTCTGTGAACGTAGGGGCTAATGTCCTTCTATAGTTGGAGGTCGGGGGGCAACTCATCCCAGACTGCATCACGCAGCACTTTGGCCACCCCCCCACCCCCGAAAAACCAGGAATACTAAAATAGCAATAAACTTTCGGCTATGCCTTCACAATTGCGTACAACATAAGTCTCAGTCTTTGCATGTTTTCAGCAACTATCTTCAAGCATGCACCAACTATTAAGAAAACAACTGGCAACAGAGAAACTGACGGCTGTTAGAAAACTAGTTTCCTGTTTACTTTCAAACTCAGCTCGTAGCAAACAAGAGAGACATGATCCTGGCTTGATAATACTGATCAAAGCCGACTTCATGTTTTACTCCTCTCTCATCTACTACCAGCTAAGCTTCAAAGGATGTGCAACGAGAGAGAATAAAACTCTCCACCTGTATCCCAAGTGCCTTTGTTTAACAGAGTGATGGTGTATTTCCAGTGGAGATTTTCCTTTGCACTTTTTGAAATACTGTATTTACTAAAGTTGATCTGAGTGTCATTCTCTGCCCTTCATCTATTCAGACAAAAGGGTGCCAAATTTTGAAACACTCAAAAAGATGTACCGTGGTTGCCATGTTTTTGTGATTGCGAGGTTGTCTCACCTGATTTGTGAAACTCACAGATTCAAGAACCCATTAGACAATGGAAGCACAAAAAAATGTGTGTACATGCACATCTGGGGGCTGCACACTGGTCCATTAGTGGAGCCTAAATTCCAAAGCAAACATGGTGAAGCAGCACTGAGCTGGTATGCTGCACACAAATGGAATAAGTTGCCAATGGAAGTGAAGTGAGCCCAGATTATAAATGCTTTTGAAGACAGGTTAAGTGGATGCTTTTTTTCCCCCCTCCATTCCTTTGAGTACATTTTTTCGGCATTTAAAAAATCTATTTCACGCTACGGTCTTTTTGTAATTTCAGAAAGCTGCTTTTCATTTCTTTCCTTTGCTTTTAAAGGTCTTTAAATCTTGTAAATCCGCTTATGAGATGTGATCTGCTTCAATAATAAAGTTGCCTTGCATCAGTGATGACATTTATGTTGAGAATAGAAATGCAGATACGAATATGTCGTTGGATTTCAATCTTTTTTTTAAAATTAGAATGTTGTTTTCTAAACACAAAGTAACACCAATTGAGT